CCATCGCCTGTTGTTAGTACTAAGCCTGTGCTGCTTATAAAAATACTAAAATTTTGTCCCGCACCCACTCTATAAAAATTATAATTTACAATATTTTATTCATTATTATATCATTATTTTTGCTAATAATAAGCTATTAACACGAATATAATGTAAATGCATGTAAATTGTAAACCAATAATATACCATTACTTAGTGTATATTATATTAATTTGACAAAAAATGTTGCTGTTTTGTAACTAATGGATCAAGATTTTCTCACTATTTTTTCTATCGTTGAATAATATTTAATACATTTAGAATGTAAGGCGTATATGTAACATTTTTTTCTAAATTTTTATTACTAGATATTTTATTTTTCAATTTAATTGAACATTTATTCTAAATGTTTTAAATGTCAGCCTTTTAATTTAAATTGTACTGTAACTACGTCAGTTAAAATATAATTATGTACAAATTTATTTATCATATGTTTTGCAACATGTCATTACTATATTTACTTTTATTGATAAATTAAATGTTATTTGTAATTATATTTATGATATTATTTAAGAAATGTTAATGAGTATTTTTTTCCTATTGAAAAATAAATATTTTACTGAGTTATATGCTTGTCTAATAGCGATGCGACACACTGAGGATCGTTTTTCCAGGTGTTTTCTTCTCCATGACCTAATTGACCATGTTTATCTTCACCCCATGTAAAAACTAAACAGTCTAAAAAGAACTACATTATTCACGTCTAAATCTTATTTGTAGTAATTTTATCTTCAAAAGTATCTACAATTGTATTACGTACCATTAGTAAGCGCAACGAAATGCGTTTGACTGACAACAAGTTGAACAATTTTTACACGAAATGGCAAGTTTATCGGTTGTATACTTATAGGCATTGAAAACTGATAAACAACCGACCTTAAACCCATCCAGATAATACATAAATCTTTGTTTTTCAAAAATTGAAATTTAAAAAAATGGTTTTCACATCGTTACCGGTATTGTAAATCACTTTTAAACGATTGTAATTCATTGTCATTGACTGCCCAAGACGATTCGTTGTCCGACTGTAAAAAAATCGGAACTATTGTCACTAAATTATTAGCATCTGGTCTTCGAAGAGGATCTTTTTGCAATAAATCGCTAATTAATTTTCTCAAGTTAGATGAGTAGCATGGCGGTATAGGTGTAAAGTCTTCCTGATTTAAAAAAACAAATTTTTATATAGCAATAGTAAACTAAAGGTATAAAATGAATTACTTTTGTAATTATATGAATTAAAGCTGGAAGATTTGAGGCATCAAAAGTACGTTGTAAGGTTGTCATTTCATACAAAATACAACCCAGTGCCCAAATATCTGACTTTTGATTATACTGTTTACCTTCACACTTACAAATAATAGCCAATAAAAAATAAATATATTTTTTAAAGTACTTACTTAATATAAAA